TGTTACGATTTCCTGGTTTTATGATCGTCAGCGAAGCATTATGTTGCTATCTTTTTCACTCATCCACAGCCACGATCTATCCACTGCTGAATTAAGGCCTTTCCAAGCCATGGCTATCTCTCATGGTCTTGCAAAGCAGCAAACCATGGTATAACTATAGACACCATAAAAGAAGCGGGACCAGATATTGGAACTAAATTATTAAACCTATTTATGTTAGATTTTAAATTAAAAACTAATGAATATCATTTACCATTGTGCTTGGCCTTTGTAGACTGAAAGAAGTACTTGATGCAATGAAAATGTATAGTCATTTAAGTTATCTCGAATCAAGGCCTACATTAAATATATGAAATGTTTGGAAAGAAAAACAATTTACAAAAAATTAACAATCTCCACTGATATTTTCATGAAGGAAGTAACACAATTCATACTGGAAGGTGAGTCAAACAAGGCTATTCACAAATCCACTCGCATATATTTTCTGAAAATTCGAATGATTGAAGAAATACCAAAGAAGGCTGCAAAGTGGGGCTAAAGATACATGAGCAAAACAAAAGCCATGAAAAAAGTTCACCGAACAAGAGGAAATAATCATTGAATCAAAGTCGCCGTTTAAACTGGAGAAATATTAGAGGGAGACATCTGGGAAATCTAAGTGTGTATCCAGGGCAATTATTGAAGGTGAAAAAAGGGATCAAAATAATGAACTAGAGATGAGTGTCTATACAAAATTATAATCTGTGCATATTGCCTGGCATAACACTTGTATCACAAAGAACATGGAAAAGTGCAAAATCCATGCATTTTTCTGAGAGATTGGTTCGTGTAGGATGACAGTGAAACAGATTTTTTATTCTCAAAGCTGGAATTTAGCCAAGTGTTACATTAAATGTTATTTGGGTGCATTCAATGGGTGACTGAGCTGAGACCACCAACTCATTCCACTCCAAAACCCAGTTTAACTCTGGGTGGTTGCTTGGATTCAAATCCAGGATTTCGGCAGTTCTGGTTCCATGCTCTCACTTCTCAGCCACCTCGCTCCCCTGAATTTAAATGTGTTGGTGTTGGGTGTTTTTCCTGCAGTACACATTAATTTAGGAAGGTGTTAACCTGCATGAACGTTTCATAAAAATGCACAAGGTGACGTGTAGGTGGCGTAAACTAGACTTTCATATTGTATATGTGTGGCACAGTAAAGGCATAATCATCCTCTTGCACTGATTACAGCCAACCCGAGCCCATTAAAATCGAGCTGTGAGTGTATTTGCTGTTGAGCCCATGAACAAATTCCCCAAAATACGCCTTTATGTTGCCCAACTCCCATGTCCGTAAGTGCCGACTGGTGTTTCTACGGCGTGGGCGAGTGAGTTAATAATTCATTTTGCACTTGGGGCAAGCACGAGGACAGGTGCAGTGGGGGGGGGGGGGGGGGGCTGCCGCCGTATACAGATGTCAACCTTGGCCCCTTGTGATCCGGCGCAGGACCTGAACGGTGCAGTTGTGTCCATGGAGACTGGCACCCCGTCCTCGGAAGACATCATGCTGCTCAAGAAAAGCATGGAGACCGAGGCGGTGCAGGTGCAGGTGTGCAGCATTCTGGCAAAAAGCCCCCTTATGGGCGCACTGTCTGGCACAGTCGGTCCGAAAGGGCCATGCACGACCAGCCCCCTTCCGCACCCTTTGTAATCGCGTTAGGTGCTTCCGCAAGCAGTGCAGTGGTTAATGCGTCATTTTCGTACATCTGTGCCTTTGACTCATGCAGAGAAATGAAAGCCAGCCCCCTCCCCCCCTACCTCCCATGTGTATAAATGTTTAATTTAACAAATGCTTGTATGTGTGTATAAAATGTGAACCAAAGTTGTATGCCTAATAAAATATTTTATCTTGCGAAGTTACATTTATGCCCAGTTGTCCTTCTCTAATCCATTTCACGCGTTAAGATATGACATCCTGATTAAAAGTTAAAAGGATTCCCCTTTAATGACCTATCTCCCTGTACTCACGTTGTGTGTGCTGGCGATGTGCAGAACTCGAAAGGCGACGGGAAGAAGGTGCTTCTGCGGAGGAAGTCTGAACTTCCCCAGGACATGTCAACCATGCGGGCATTGGAGGTGCACAGGCGTGCCGAGGAATACCTGTCCACCTCACCCGAGGCCATGTGATCTGCTCCCTTTCTCCCACTCCCAGCGCCTCTGGCTGCCAGCACTCCTCTTCCTCGCAGCCCTGAGGGGCCAAATTCTGACCAGCGATCGTTGGGGTTTCGTCTCCACGCTCAATGAAGAACACGCCGAAAGTGTAATTTTATTTCCCACCCCCCCCCCCACCACCTACCGTCCCACCCACACTCGTCTGCCCACGGCCGGCTGCCTTGGAGAAAGGTTGTCACCCTGCGGTCCTAAGGGCGGTAACAGCACTTCGGTGTTCCAAATGGGGGACTTTTGCGGTGACATCTTTCTCCACACTGGAAGGCGTCATCCTGTTTATACCGAAACAGATTGCACTCGAATTTTGAAAACTGAAGCTCTTTTGGACGTGTGCTGAGGGGACCCGGGCGGTGCTAGAGGGAACGACAAAGAAGGGCCTACAAGAAAGACTTTTAAAAGCCCCCCCACCCACGATCCTTGTAAGTGGCAGTGACACACTTTTGCCGAAAGAGGATAACGTTATCCGGCAAGCCCAAATTTAACACGACGGCATTGTAATGCGGTCATGCTGCTCCACAGCTGTATGAATTGCTTTTACTGTGAACTCCCCTCACTTTGCTGGTGGAGTTTTCCCCATATGTACAGTTTGTAGGTGATAATTCCTTTGCTCCCCCCCCCCCCATTTCAACCCCACCATCCCTCCCCCCACCACCCACCTTGAAAGCCGAGCTCTTGCAAGCTTCAATAATTCACCACTCGCAAACTTGAACCCTGGCGTTTTGTCGCTACCACTGGCTGTGCGCGCCTTTGGCCACAGCTCTTAGACCTCGTCTCGGTCATGAATTCTTTAATCAAAACCCCTTTTTAATTAAAAAAATAACCCGTTGAAGACTGGCTCCATTTTTAGTATTGATTATTGTAAAGCAGTACATGCGTGCAAAGGAAACTGTTATTTTATCTTAACAGTAATATCAAAGGTTCCTTGCCAACCTAAACGGTTATTGCGAGGCAAGCGAGTTAGTTCAGGCGAGCGGTGACGTACATTTGCAAGAGGAGTTTAAGCGTGGCGACTCATTCGTGCCCTAATTTCAGTTGCAAAATCCTTGTGTAAATGTTAAGTTTTTAATTTCTTGTTTTACACTTAATTAACTTGCATTCTATTGTTTACTGCGGCTGTAGGGTGAAATCACTTGTTAATATCCTATTTTCCTTACTACTATTTACCTTAACCCAACAGTAAACTTTTTTGTAGCTATGATTTTATGCATGGGGGGGGGGCGGGGGGCTGGAGTATTTCTAATCAGGGTCCTTTGGCAGCACAAACTCAAGTATGTACAGTCAGTCGTTTTCATACGCGAAGCTAGGTGACAGGAATACAGTGTCCACGATGCCTGAATACACAATTTGCGGTGCTCAAACAAAAAAAAGTGCATCGTTGCTGTGCACAGTTTCTGTTTTACATGGCACGCTCGCCTGTCCACAGTCCACGCTTTGTCCAGGTGATATGGCCGACGTATCTTGAGGCGACAATGGATCGTGGGCCAACACGCCCACCCTCCACCCACCAGTGTCAATCATCATTCGGTGCCAAGGATATGGTCTCTCTGTTATGGAGAGCAGTGTCCATAACCAGTGTTGATTGCTCAGATTTGTGTCTCGGCTTCAGTGCTTAAGGACCTTTGCATGCCTCCGATGTCCAGCATACTTCGTGACACGTGCTTGCCAGTCAGCAGGTGTCGGTGGTTGTCGCATAGTATCCGACCTAAGAAAAAAAATTCTGCTGCAGCATTGTGGGAAAACCCACAACTGCTCTACATATCAACTGGAGTCCCCGCAGTAGTGCGATCCGTTTTTTGCCCCGAAAGGTTGGAAATGTGGCCACCGTTATAATTCGTGGCAGAATAGCAGCATGACAACTGCTTGCCACTTTCACCCTTGTTATGGCTCGTAGGCAGACGCACAACAATATGGACACGTTGCTTGACTGCCATGAAGTGGGTCAAGTGATAGGAACCGAGAGCCATCTTCACCAACTGTGGTCTCTCTTGAGGTGGAAGTAGCACGACAAAGGATTGAAATACAAGCAGGGCTTCATTTCTAGCTCATTTAAGATCGCTGGTACACCGAATTGGTATGCGACTTTCCAGCCACAGCCATAGAGATCTACTGGATGTGATGTGCTGGTTGGACAAATATTTAACGGGTCGCTGACCAGAGGACATCTGGCTGAAATTAAGCCCTGCATGAATGCCAATGGAGTCGACTGTCATTGCCTGCAAAAGACGTGGGCTTTGTATTAAGAGGCCAGCCATCCATTGAGTTATTGAATCTGATGTCCACAGCACAGTTTGCAGACTGATCCTATGGTGAGAGTTGGTCATAGATGTCTGGAGTCCCATTTTACAAGCAGTTGGCCTGATATGGGCACGCTCCAAACTGCCGGGCTTTGCTTAACTTTCTTTTGTTCCGAGCATAAAACACCACCGCCACCAATAGAGTTTAGGGGGGTTAAAAGGCAAGCGTTTATAGGTCCTCGAAGATTCCACTCGCGCTAGCCTAGCAACTTCACAGTGCACCGGCAGATCCCTTTGCAGCATCGTGTTTGCCGCAGCGCGCTAGTTTGTCTTCTTGCTGCAGTTACCGCGAATCATCCGTGATGTGCCACGCAAATAAACGCTCTTGAAATAGTTATGCAAAGTGTTTATTCCTTTAACAGAATAACGAAAAGTAGGTTTGTTTGTTTTTTTCTTCTACTTCGTTGTACCTTGAGTAATGTGTGTAAAGTGTCTAATGGGGTGGAGGATAATTCAGAGCATACACAACTTTATTCGCTCGCTCGCTTGTCTGCTTCCACACATTTGCTTGGCCTGAGAAAAAGCAATTCGCTGTGATATACGTATAAACAGTATATATATTTTTTTGCACATGCTATCGCGATGTTGTGTTGTAATATACCGCTCACTTTACAAGGTCACATTTCTGGTGGCAGTCATTCGGGCTTGTGTGTTCATGTTATAAACTAACCAAGGATAAGAGTGGCCACTCGTGTGTGAAATTGTCGTCAGCGCTGCCGTACTTAAACCAGATGCTGCAGATGCCGTTCACGAAAATAAAAAAAAATACTAGTTTGAAACTTCATTCGATTGCAGGCCCCAAATCTGCAGTCCTACGTTGTACTGTACATATATTGTACCCAGGTGTGCTTTTAATTGAGCACATGAACGTACATGACAAGACGCTTTCCGATTTTGTACAGATCGTCATTACATTTACAGAATAAACTTACATAAAAAAACTCACGTATTATTGTATACCTACTATGGCCGTCTGCTCGTGGCATTTATAAGGTCTACCTTGCAGTAATGTAATTAAATTTCTACCATGTATATCAATGCCACCTGTGACAATCACCCAGAATGTACCCGATCTCGGAAGCCAAGCAGACTTGAGCAGGATGGTGATAAATAGGTGGTCATGCCAGCTTGTTAAAGACTTTGGGGCTACATGCAGCAAGATCCACTGTTCTGCACTGATTCCCCCGTTTGGTCCCTGCCTTCAAACCACACTCATCAGAATGGTGAAGTATGGTCAGATAATCATACCAGTATGCAGAGGCCCTCGTACTAATCGATTATTGAATGCAACCGGTGAGGGTGCCGATGATTTCCTAGAGCGGTGTTTTCATTGCAATTCCCGTGGGCTACTGGTGGCCCATTATGGCCTTTAGATGTGGCCCGAACGTGCAGCCTCCGACAGTACACAAATTTGAAAACATTTCATCGTGCTGTCAAATCCCAATGGTTTCAAATACGTGGGGACCATCACACTGATGATGTGTTATCAGTGAAAATAGCCCCCCCCCCCCTCTGGAAATTAGAGAAAAACACTGGCCTAGAGCATGAAGATTGGGTCTGGGACGTGACCACCTTCCTCCACCAACTCGTGTTCCACGGCGGCCTCGATCTGCATGCACACCCACTGGGTCCACCGATCATCCACGGGCGCTCCCTGCGGGAAGGTCATTCCACTTTGTAATATTATACAGTAATTACCGGTGGTCGATATTCATTAAGGAGTTACAGCCAAAGAAGAGGAACATGCCAAAAGAGAACTTGCATCGCGCAGATGGAGCGATTTACATCGGCTCGTGCGCACGTGGCGAGATGCGTTGTGACATTGAACATCGCGGTCCTGTAACGGCTTGGGGAGGAGGCCCTTCATCCAGTCGTAAATTGATCATGGCTGCTGATGGAGACTCGTCTTGCCAATTATTTGTCCAGGAAAGCATCACCGAGTTTATTCAGGAGGCTGCTGCATCGAGTTGTTCGACCTATACCATTCAAACGTGTTTTGGCTTCATGTGGACGAAAACCCAGATATCTGGGAGAAAGCTCACCACACAAAACCAGGTGGTGGCACTCAAAATCTTGGCACAGATGGGATCTTAATCCGAATGTTGTACTGCCATCACTGAGCGAAGTCAACCCTTGCAGCCGCAACACCCCTCATTAAGATTTTCAGCAGTGTGTATGAAGCCACAGCCTGCTGATGTGACAGACGGCCCGAAACCCCATCCACAGCTTGCCCGCATAAACCAATGCTTCTGCGTGGATAGCATTCGTCCAAAAAGGCAGATAGGCTGATGGACTCACGTGTTTTCATTTGTATGGTCGAGAGACGCAAGTTTGAATTTTATCAGTAAGGTTCGCCTCCATTTGGCCGTGGCTCTCGATCACATTTGTGTCACAAGGACCATGAGAAACCCCACCCAAGCGGGAGGATAAATAGGGGACTCAAAAAGCTCCGCGATTCAAATGCATTTGATGCACGCTGCCCTCTCCTGGTAGCTCCCTTGAAGTGGCACAACTTGTGTTTTTCAAACGTAAAAGTACACCACATTTAATGGCCACGTGACGAATCATGCTAATTACACATGAAAGTCACATTCAGTCTCGAGATTATTTGTCAGAAGAGTTCTGGTGCGTTGGGACGTTTTTCAAATCGCATTAAGTTTGGCTTCACGTGAAAGGAATACTGGGAGAAAACGCGTAACACGAGGATAACGTGTGGGGTTTGTATCTGCACAGGCATCTCTCCCTTGCATCCTCGGGAGTCGAGCCGATTTGGGACTGGACAAATCTGCGTGATCCACAAACCCCTTTTCCCTCAATAAAAAAATCAAACCGTATGATCACGCGTGTGTGTGTGCCATGATGATAATCGGCGGCGATTCCGCGTCCGCTCCACGTTGCAAAGGATTTACGTTTCGATTAGAGCGGACGCCCCGATAATGATACCTCTGGAGTATCAACTACAATAGGTTAAAATGCATTTTTCAATACGCAGTCTGCTTCACAGTCCGCATCCAAGATCCCCCGTGGCGTCATTCGCAAGCGTGAATCCATTGTGCGTGCCGACGTTATTCTTCAAATGTGTTACTTTAAAAAATACCCGCGATTGAAATCATATGGCAATCATCACCCCCACAAACTGCAAAAACGTGGTAGGACCCGCCTGAAAAAGAATTGATTATTGGGTAAACAAGCGTTATGGAAAAACATAATTTCGAGGATGAGTATGATTAACTGTTAGGGATGACCAATTGATGGCAAGGTTCAATCGTCAATGCAGCTAATGAAGAATACGAGTCCGATCTCATCAGATCAGGTAGCGAAGCAGGTTTCAATCAGGATAGGGCTTGTACGTGCGACCACTACTACGCACAAACAGGTGTGATATGCTGCTGCGCAGCTGCGTTAACAATCGTTATGTACTTCAATGCATCCACGTACATGCTGCCCGCCTTTTACCCCGCACTGACCCAGTATGGTGAAGTATGATCAAACAACCCCCACGCCCCGCGCGGCGCGGAGAAGCGCTCATCCAACAGTTTATTGATGACCGATTGACGTTAGTCGTGTGTGGCGTGTCGATCAAAATATTTGATTTATTTTCTCACCGCTCCCACCGATTTCTTGCGCCGTCTCCTCGCGGCGCCTCGGCTTCTCCGCGGAGAAGAGCTCCAATAAACTTCTGCTCCCTCCCGGTTCCTCGCTGCCTGCCGGCCCGACCGACTCGGCGGCGAGAGCTCTTGGGTCACGGGCCCGCGGGCACGGCCTTTGAAATCCCCACGGGATTCCCACGTCACGTGCCCGAGATCCGCCGTCGCCTTCGTCTCCTCCTCCATCCCCGATGGTCGCGTTGCGCTGCTGCGCGAAGCGATGGTGGAGCCGTGCCCGGAGGTGAACTCGGCCGCGGGTGCTTTGGAGAAGGCTCGAGGTGGCGCGTCGGCGGGTGGCGAGTTGCGCGTTTCGACGGAAGAGACGCTGAAGTCGTCGTTGAAAAAAACGTCAGGGTCATTGTTGCCGTTGCCGCACTCGCCGGAATGAACGCTATTGTCGCGGAGCTCGTCATCACCAACACCACCATGATTTCCACCACCACCATCGTCACCACCTTCACCATTGCGATTTCTTTCAAACTCTGCAACATTTCTGTTTTTGTCGGCAAAATCAATGTCGTCACCATCACCACCGTCAACATCATTGCCACGAACATTGACGCCGTCTTCTTCATCACCACTTCTGCCATCATCATCATCATCATCACCGTCACCATCAACAACATCGCATATTCCTTGGAACTTGAACGGCCGAACGACACGTCTCCCGAATCCGTCTTCTTCCAATGGGGCCTCCTTGGCTCGTTCCAAAGGCGGAGGAGACTGCAGCGAGCCTCCACGAGCCAAACGGACACCTCCCTTCACCACGGGAGCCCCTTTCAAGGCGCCTGTTGTGTGCACGTGCGCTCGAGTCGCAACGCTGTGGTCCGCCGCTAAATCCTCTTGCTCCAGGATCTCAACCACGGGCGACAGAGTCTTTGGAGAGCCCACCCAGAATCGATCCGCCCTGGGAGACGCGTCGGAGCGAGAGTTCTCCAAACACCTGGCCATGGCGTCGTCGTTGTTGTTGTTGTTGTTGCTCGCGGAAAGTAATTTAAAAGTTCGTGAATTAAATCACTAAACGACAAGCCTCTTTTTCACGGACTTAAGTCAATGCTTGTGAATCCAAATGTAATGGGATACGCATGAACGGTCGTCATTAAGCTGTACTACTGAAGTATGGGGCATATAACAGTCTGTGCTAATAAGTAAGAAAAATAAATAATCTGTATCTTGTTTATGAATCCCGAAACATTTTTGATCGGAGATTGAATTGGGTTAGCTACGTTTCAACAGGGTCAGCCTGAAGCACTGCATTAATTTAAACATCGCGCTAAATACTTGAAAAAAATACATTGAGCCGCGACATTCTCTTCCCTCAATGTGTGACACTGAAGCCGACGTGAAGCAGGCAAAGCCCTCAACCTCTGTAGATTTTATGAACATTCAAGATTTTACCGTCTCAGATTCTCAAACCCCGCCCATTGATCCTCTCCAGTCAAAATGGGACGTAATTGGTAACATCGCACTTTAATTCACATTGATATCACTGCACATGAAGCAAGTGTTGTGACTCGTATCTGCAAGAATTGGCCACAAATCGAGGCAGGTGAGCTCATTAAACCTCAACGAGTAATTAAATACGTTCTGTGAAGATTAGAAAATACACTAATTAGAGCAAAGTGGACAAGCACTGATGCCATCACGTGCCTGTTATCCCAGAGCTTGAGCAGGTGTGTTGCCAATCAGACAGCGTTGATTGATGATCGTGTCACAAGTGCAGAACAATTTAAATTGTCTTTAAACGGGGAGTATATTAATAAAAGTGGAATTTTGGAAAACCTGTAATAGAAAGTAAGGTGTACTCCCTGCCAGGATGGAATTCTTGCTCGAGTTGATTCTGGTGTTTAATGGCAAGTGAAGCCTAACGCATACAGTGGGCTGTGTGATGTTACACGTGTAATGCAGGCATGCAATAGCTCTGTTAATTAACACCAAGGAAAGCTATTTGAGCAACAAATGCAGTTAGTTGTGTGTCGTCGGCGTAGTCGGGAGTCTGTGACGTCACGTGACACTCGTAGTAAGGTGTCATTGTAACGTCACTGCAGTCTGGTTGTGACGTCACATCCTGTCGGTGATGCGTGGAGTGATTTCTCACAGTTGCTCTACGGATACCTTGGAAAGCAGACGTGTCTTCACTTGCTCTCTGGCGTTCGCAAGATAACATTTTAGGAAAAGTTTAGGTGCTCTGGCACATTGGAGGCATGGCCATCATGAAGAGAGGTGTAAGGAAATTTTTCGGAAAGTTTTTCAAAAGAATATGCTGCTGCTGTTGCCGAAGCAGTTCTGATGATGAGGATAGCTCTGCTAGGACCTCACCGGACACTCCTCTTCCGAGTCTGGTGGGCGGCCGTTGCAGCTCCAGAGAGAGCGTTTTTCAGAGCTGCAATTCCAATTTAACGTCAACGAGTGAGGAGGCATCAATCGATGGACACAAGGAAAATGATCTGACTAAGGTAAGGGCAGTAAGAGCTGCAGAGAGTGAGATAAATCATAGCGGGTGACTGGGCACATCTAACAGAGTCTGTGCTAATAACTTTTTTTTTTGGAGAGCGAAACATATCAGTTCAGAGGTTGATTTGGTTTACCTATATATGGACAGGGTAAGCCTGAAGCACTACATTAATTTAAAACTCGTACTAACTACCTAAAACACGACGTTGAGCCAAGTGATAATCTTCTCAGAGTGTGACCCGAAAGCCGACATAAAGCAGGCTCACGTTGTTGAAAGTGATAATGTTCCCACAGAGTGTGACCCGAAAGCCGACATAAAGCAGGCTCACGTTGTTGAAAGTGATAATGTTCCCACAGAGTGTGACCCGAAAGCCGACATAAAGCAGGCTCACGTTGTTGAAAGTGATAATGTTCCCACAGAGTGTGACCCGAAAGCCGACATAAAGCAGGCTCACGTTGTTGAAAGTGATAATGTTCCCACAGAGTGTGACCCTAAAGCCGACATAAAGCAGGCTCGCGTTGCAGTCGAAACGTCGTGAAAATTTTGTTTGTTTGATATTTGTATAATTTTATTATTTCTCTTCTACGTGACTTTACCGAAAGAACCAAGAATATGAATCCCTGCAGTCACGAAAGCTTTAAATCAAAATTCAGGCTCACGTTGTTGAAAGTTTCAACAACAGTTTGAGTCAAGAAGTGAGGATAAAAAAGGCAGCCCTCTTTCGAGTCTTTGGAAAGCTGCAACACCAGTTTAAAGTCATGATGTATGTTGAACTTCTTTCGCACCGTGCCTAGGCAAACGTGCTGCTCGGAGGTGCGTGGAAGATTGGTGAGGAGACATCATCTGATGAAAGCATTGCAGATGATAGGACTCAGGTAAGAGAGGCTGTAGGAGCAGCAAAGAGGGAGGATAGATCACAGCAGGTGATTTGGCAAAATGTAATTATCATTAATGCTTTCGCGACCATAATCATCCATGATACCGTTTTTTCCCTTATTTTTTCCTCTTTTTTATTTTGAGTTAAATGGCATAAATATATAAATGTGTCGTTAAACCCGCCACCACCCGACACAGCCAATTAGTAAGGGTTGTTACATAAACAGAACATGCCAATTAGTCACTAGTACAGCACACCGGTGCGTTGGAGAGCCAAGCCACAACATTTACAATCTGAGTATCACGTTTGTGGTGACAACACGAGAGCACACAAGTGTTGTCACCACATCTACGCCTCTATTTAACGAACAAAACAGGTGGATTTCTCCACAGATCTGACTGTCGCCCTCGTTGTAATTACTGGCGAAACGTCGTATTCAGATTGTAAATGTTGTGGCCTTGCTCTCCAACACACCGGTGTGCTGTACTAGTGACGAATTGGCCACGTTCTGTTTACATGACAAACCTTACTCGTTGGCAGTGTTGGGTGGTGGCTGGTTTAACGACACATTAATATATTTACGCGAACTAACAAGAAAAAAAACCTGTATTATAGATCAGTATTGATAAAATGTAGGTATAAATTTATTTAAGTTTACGTTGCAACACTTGCAAAGAAGACCAGTCGACACGTAAAGGTGCAGCCTTGAACTAGTCTGCTCATACGATTGCTCGCGGTTGGGTTTGCACGAGAGGAAACTCTCACCTATCTACGCCCACCAAACACCTTGGAAAATGTGGGAGCACCCACACCTGATCCCACAACACACATGGCTTGTCCATCGACTAACTGTGGTCTCCCCATTTTTACTGCTTGGTGAATAAAGGTGGGAAGGATGTATTTCTACTGACATGCCAGGAAATTGAAGCACCAAATTCCGTATGACAACACCAGATTGCTAACCGTTACATGAATAGAGTAAAAAAAAATTATTTCCAATTTCACGCACTGCAAGGATGGGGAGGGTGTATGAAGGGATGTATTCCCGTGTGGGTATGTGTGTTCATATGGGTCTGTATTTGCGCTCGAGTGATATCACGTGCATCTTTTTAACGTAACATCTTCAGAATATCACAATGTGAATTTAGACATGGAGTATGTTTTTGTCCAACTTCTTTGGACACAAGGATAGACCCTAGGAATCTGAAAACAAAGCAGAGTCTCCATTATTAGATTGGCTTGCCATGTTGTTTAATATTTAGCAACATTGTTCGAAATACGAATCTGCACTTAGCAATTTGAGTAATGCTGCAGTGTAGTGGCGATGCGTATGCATGACTTAAGGCTGCTTTTACCGTTACCGTAGGAGAAGAAGACCAAAAGTGTTCAATGGACAGAAAGGGACACCATCTCCATTATCGTCGTCAAGGATGAGGCATCCACATCGACCCCCATGGTGTCAACAGCAAATGACAAGGGGCTGAGGATCCAATACATCACCGTTCCATCCGCCGTGTCTTACGTCAGCAAGGCTGGGCTGAACAAACCTAACGCGAGAGGTAAGTGTGTGCCAGCGTGACCCTGTTCCTCTGATTAGTATGGTTGGCTACGCACGGTGTGAAAGAAGTTCAACGTGCACACATACGTACACTTTGATATCTCGTCAGTGGCTGTCTCGCCATTGCTGTCAATGTAAAACTTACAGGCTGAAGATGCTCTTCAGGCAATTCTGATTACTAGTGCTGAACACTTCAAAGACATTAATACATTTGCATCTCGCCAGCTGGTGAAGATGATTGTCTACCTAACAGCACCACAAAAAAATATGCCCGCACGCGTACAGGCTAAGACACGCAATTTTCAAACCATTCCCCTCAGATGTTCTGTGAGTGTCAAGTATGTGTTTCCATCTTGTAATGTGTGCAGACGAGGACAGCATTCCATCTTCAGAATTCATCACATCTGCGACAGACACCTCGGTTCTCAAGTGGCAGGAGGATCTACATGAGGGTGCTGGGCTTAAGAACCTCGGAAATACGTGTTTCGTGAATGCCAGCCTGCAGGGCCTCACATACACGGCGCCGCTGGCAAACTTTTTGCTTTACGGCGATCACTCATGGAACTGTGAGTTCTCCCAGATATTTTACATTCGAGACGAGCTACAATCGCGTTTTGTGTAGATTACCTGACTGTGCGCAGCTGGGCTATGTGTGCGATTGGTTTGCATTGTCACTGTGTGCCACCCCTGCCCCACTTCACAGGCAAACAGACTGAGTTTTGCATGATGTGTCTGTTGGAGAAACACGTCTTCAACGCCTTCATGAATCGGGGCACGGCCATCAATCCCATCGAGATAGTTCGCAATTTCAAACGTAAGTTCCAGCACAATTCCCAAGTGTCTTTGACGTTGAAACTTCTGTCATCTCAAGATCCCCTGAAAGGGCAGTTTGAATCAGTTTTTGTATACAATATCGAATAGAAAATTACTAGTTTTGGTCAGCACTGAGATTACAACTCCAATGCATCGGATGTTCTTCCGGTCTAGCATTCCTCTGTTGATGCTCGTTCTAAACATTGCCAGCCACACCCAGTTCTGTGATTAACCCACAAATCTGTCAATATGCTCTTCCTTTTCTTGAAAAGGTTTACGTGAAAATATCTGTTAAAGTCCTATGCACCAGATTCCACAATATTTCTCAAGAATCTGGAGCCGGTTTAGTTGCTGAGGGACTTCATAAGCTATATCCTAACTGTGCCAGTAACTGTGTGACCACATCATGTGTGACCTCTGTCCATTTTCACACAGACATCGGCGAGGACCTGTGTTTTGGCAGGCAGGAGGATGCACATGTGTTTCTGGGTTACGTGATAGATGCTCTGCACCAATCCTGCCTCTTCAACCAAAGGCAGTAAGTAATGCATGCCCCAGCAAACTCCATAAATATTTGCACAATACCAGCACATGGATGCCTGGGTTGTTCAGAAAAAATATTTGTCCGTAGGACAACCAGGCTAGAGTCTACATTTTAGACTGCCAGTACACTCACCAAGGTTAAGAACCAGGCTACAGTCTACACTATAGACTGCCAGTACACTCACTCTGATTAAGAACCAGGCTGCTGTCTACATTAGTGTGTTTTTGTATTTTTATTATTATTTTAATTTTTATTTGATATTTTATTATTCATATTTGTATTCACTTTATTTTAATGAAAAATGTTTCTATCTACGTTACTTTACAGAAAGAACCAAAAAATATGATTTCCTGCAGTCACGAAAGTTTTAAGTCAAAATTTAGGACAACCACTATTGACTGCCCCACAACGGGGTACCCAGTACATTGACCTCAGACGGATGATGAGTAAACCCCCAATCATCATGATTTGAACTGGTAACTTTCCGTTTGTGAGATGCTCACATTATCGCTCAGCCAACTGGATGAATTCTTTATGTTATTTGGAGACTGTGACTTACACTTTTATCATTAAATTATTTTGATTTTACCAGGTGAGGCCCACTGAGCTAGATAGCTCTTTTACAGGAGCGACTTGGCCATATATGATAGCTCAACGAAGTGACTTATCACGTGAAATTTTTATAAACCAAATACTCTGAGCGCATGTTTTTTTTAAATGTGGAGGGGAAAATCGGTGGGCTCGTATACAAAAAAATCCACGCGACCACAGGGAGTGAATGCAAACTGCAAATTTACAGGCGTCAGGATTGGGATCAAACCCATGACCTGTATACCAGGTGAGGTAGTTACGATATTGCCACTGCAGCGAGTTAATACTAGGAGCGAACAAGTATAACCCGTAAAAACAAAGTTTTTCACTATAAATCCTTTATATGCGTGGCGGCTAGAGTCCTCTCGTCCTCTGGCTTGAGATGGCTGCCACCTATGGGTCAGATGATTGTCTGCCAGTATTAAGCAATTGGTAATTAAATATTTAATTTGTTTTCCCTAAACAGTGTAAAATTTTGGAAAAAAATTTCACGAACATTAATTGTCTCGCACAACGAGTCTGTGTGCAAAATGTCAGCTCGATTGGATCACGGGAAGTGGGTTAAAAAACTACCGAAAGATTTGCACGGTCGTAAGCAAGCACGCAAGCAAGCAAGCGAACTTAATATAAAGGATTAAAAAATATGTAACTCTTCCGAGTGTTCATCTGGTAAAGACATTGCCTCTGTAGTTTCTGTGTGGTGTCATTGCGTGTTGTGTTTTCAGGCTCGGTATTAACATGGAGACCCCTACATTGATCCACCAGATCTTCAGGGGGTACCTGAAATCGAGAGGTAGGTACTGTGCTCCTTTCTAAACATCCACCCTTTAAGGAGTGATTTCAACCAATGTCACAATCCATACTGGGCTATGCAAACTCTCGCATGCAACCTTATATTCTCTTTTAAACAACGAGCACATATGTAGATGTAAAAACACGTACACAAGGACATAAGCATACATGCACAAAATATGCATTCCCTTTCCAGTTTCTCTTTCATTGTTTACAAGTTATATAATTGATATTCTAAGGTTTTTTCGGTAAAGTCACGTAGGTAAAAAAATGTAATTAAAATTAATAAAAGTAACTTGATTCAGCAATCGTGCTGTGACGGTTCCACCTGAAGACGGAAGCTTGTGTTGCCTCCGAAACGTCGTGATTTTTATTTCATTTGACTTTTATTAATTTAAATTTTTTACCTACGTGACTTTACCGAAAAAGCCTAAGAATATGAATCCTTGCAGTCACGAAAGCTTCAAATCTAGAATTATATAATTGACTCTACTCCCTTTCCCGTGTAGTTATCTTGGTTAAAGGGTGTTATATCAACGATACGAACAACTGGATTGTGCTAATAGTGATTTCTTCGACCACGCTTTAACGAGGCTACCCAACGTGCAATCTGCCAACATTTTAAACTTTAACATTGAACACAAATTAGTTGATGTCATCATACACGTGTTGACAATATAGATCCTCAGGTCCTCAAGGTAAAAGGGGCGGAGCCAATTTCTTTCCGCCATTTTGGACAGTGAGGGCGGAGCCATCGTGCCGGTGGCAGTGAGCGGTGTTTTGTAGTTTCCGTTAATTAATCGTCATGGAAACGTTGTATTATTACCAGACAATCCTGAGTGTGATCATCGTTGACTACACAAGTTAGTAAGATGCCGAATATGGAACTAGATTGCACGTGTTTATTATGGGTGCCACTTTAAAAAGTGTTTATCAGGAAAAAAATTGAAATGTAATTGCTCATCAGGCCCCATGGTGTACAGTGCAGTCTCCAACTCGTATCAACCCTATCTTTCTGTTTCTGTGCTATGAATAAGGATCACTTCTGAAAACGTCACCAATTGCATGTGTTTCCTTGTAAGGCAGTGCTATTGACAAATGTGTTGATTACCTGTGATTTGTGCTAGGGCACCACTGCCAACACAGTATCAACAATAAGTTCATATTTCGATGTAAAGCTTTCGTGACTGCAGGGATTCATCTTCTTGGTTCTTTCGGTAAAGTTACGTGACTTTACCGAAAGAACAAAGAAGATGAATAAGTTAATAAAGTTTTTGGTGTTTAATAACCGTTACAGTTTTCATCAAATATATTTTTATTTAACAAATATAGTTGCATCTGGGTTGGTGGTATCTGAAGATGTGCATGATATTAGCCAGTTAACATGTGAATACTTTTGATGAGGATTATGCAATATGCAGTAGTAATATTAATCTCCAATATGTGTGCACTTGTGTTTTCACAGTTGAGTGCATGCAGTGCTTCAGCATCTCAGACACGTTGGACGCCTGCCTGGACATCTCTCTTAATATCAACGTAAGAATTGGGAAGGCTACAGCCTGATGTCGATTGTTTTTGTCATTCATTATATTTATGTACCACAACCAGTTGACAGCAGAGCCACTTATGCCATTTATTGTGAAAATTCCGTCAGTTCCTGTGATCACTGTTTCATTGGTTTCATGGCTTTATTTTGGTGATTTAGAAAAGTGTATTGGTTTAGCCATGTTTGTTTGTTGTAGTACAGAGTTAGACTGAGGGCCTTAATCTAAGTTGTCTTGTGGTTGTTGTTGGTTGTTTGACTTGCATCCCACTGGGATTTTTGCACACAGCGTTGGTGTACGGTGTTTTTTTCCTGCAATATTTTGCTGTCTTTTCTTGGATTGTCTGTTTGCACTTAGTACATATTCATTTTAAGATGTTTTTTTTGTTCATGTTTTTGTTTGTTGCGGTTGCACCCGATTCAAGAGCCGAATTGCTCACAGGGCTATACCTAATAAATGAACTTGAACTTAACTTAGCTCATGGTTTATTAATTTCTATTCAAAGTAATAATTTGCCATTTTTGTGTCATTGACAGAAATCCCTAGATCTGGTGATGGCTTTTCATGAATTCACAAAGACCGAGACTCTTGCAGAATACAGATGTGGAATGTGAGTATGCAATCTTCCATCGTGCACCTTGAAACGTTCGTGTATATCCCCATTTATACAGTGTGTGATCAAACACGCATCTCGGTCGTAAACTAACGTGCTATTGTCTGGCGAACAGGTGCTCGTGCGTGGGGAAATCTACAAAGAGAGTGAGCCTAAACGTGGTGCCCAATGTGCTTATCATCACCATTAAGCGATACGATGAGTTTGGCGACAAAATCGACAAGGTGAATTTTACTTTCTGCGCAGAATGCATCTGATATTCAAATATATTTGTATTCAACGTTTTGTCATTTGGACGTATTGGCAGTACACCGGTAAAGCATGACACACCGGTCCTCATTAAACAGTATAAAATCTAAATGTGAACTGACACTCATCTTCCGACTGCTTTGAGATCACGAGAAATTATTTTGACGCACCCCACAATATTTTCTGAAATGGGTTGCGAATCGCAGGAAAATATATAATTATTGTGAAAAATGTGCTTTTTTTATCCGGTGCACCAGTGTACCGCCAATACGTTCATTTGCTCCCCTCTTCTGCCCCTGCTTAGCTAGCACCATATTTTCCTCTCTTTTAATGCTTGGCCCACCACTGTCTCCTCCCTCATCCCTTGTAGGATTTCCTCTTCACTGAAGAACTCGACATACGGCCGTTCATGTCCAATCAGGTTGTGCACGAGCCAGAACTGTATTCGCTCTACTCAGTGATTGTGCACCACGGGACCACCACCAATAGCGGCCACTACTACTCCTACAACAAGGTGATGTTGTGCATGATAAACAAAAAAACAAATATCCCCCAAAGAGCCTTACTCCACTGTTGGTGCAAGTGCTGTTCATGAGCACCTGTCAAAGCCAGAACAACACAGGAAGGGGGTGGGTGGCCAGCACCACGCCCGGCCGCCTTTGTCCCCTGAGTGGTAATGTTTACATATTGCACCATATACTCATTTGAGGCTGAGTGGACCGAGGGAACGAGGCTCAGGACCGGTTGAGATAATCGTCACTGCTGTTAGTCTTAAGCGGGAATCGACCTCTGGTTGCCGGGTTCGTAGTGCAATGTGCTAACCGCTACGCTACTGTTCCCCACTATGATCATACATACACACACACAAAGCATATGAGTACACGTGTTAACTTCCATATAACATTCCGCTTTCATGATCTGTCACTATGGCTGACTTTTAAATTAGTCTGGTACAATTGGGTATTGATCGTAATTTAACAAGTGTGGATGTATTTTTTCTTCAGGTCAGCAATGGCAGCTGGTTCAGAATGGACGATACTGACGTGATGCCAGTCACCAATGCAGAAGTTTTTGAAGACCAGGCCTACATCCTCTTCTATACGAAGTAAGTTGTACTCATGATGTATTTTCAGAAACCATAAAACCTCGATCTATTTACCCTAAGTCAAACAGTGTTATCTGACAGTGTTGTGTACACTCTTACTCGGGCCACAATTATATTTTGAAGGTGGTTACCACGTGAGTTAGCAGCCATTTTCGGTGCAATTTATTTTTCTAGGTAGTTTCAATGACAGGCAGTTTTCTGTGGTGCCCTGTTGGCCAGTGGAATAAATTTGATGGTGATGATGTGTGCTATGTGTAGGTCACCAGAGCAGAATGCCATCCCAGTGGACATCGAGGACCCACAGTCTTCAAACTGGGTGGCATCAGGGACACAAGGAGAGCTCACAAGTGCTCAGACTACACAAGGAAGGACACTCAAGGAAGAAAGGACACTCAAGGAAGAAAGGACACAACCCGGAGACACACTGCACACAGACACACGCCCACCTAAGAAGACACGTTGGAGACTTAGAAATTTAGCCTGATATCAGATGCTCCCTCCTTACAGGCAATCCCCGGATTATGGAAGCGTTAGGTTCTCAACAATTTCCCCCCAAAATCCAGATAAAATCCCATAGCCAGATATAGTTGTGCCTCCCGTACTGTTTTCTCTCATTACTGTATCGCGTTGTGATACGTTGTGTATCACTGCCTGTAGCATATGTCTGTATATACGCTCTGCACTTCCTACGATTACACTGGTCAACACACTTTTTCTGGCATAAGGTATTCCAACGGTTTTAAGTTCTTGTCTATCACATCAGGTTTTTGAGATATTAAATATTGCATTTTCAATAAAAACTGCATAAGAAAAATATTAAATAAATGTGGATATCTACATAAAATTATATTATAAACACACTATCCTAAAAATACAGCACCATATTTTAACACTAAAGCAGTCCCTGACTCGCAACAACTTGCAATCATAAGTGACAAGAGTTAATTTTGGGTAAAATCAATGAAAATGGGGTATGCTTTGCTCTATCACATCTCATGTGATCATCTCATGTGATAGAGCAAATCTGAGATCAGATTTGGAATCAGCACCCTGAAATTAGTCCAGGCCACAATTTTTTTTTGTTGACCAGTGTTATTTTATTTAATCGAATATCTACCCTAACACTACCCATAATTAAACTAATGGAACATATACTGTATCCAAATGTGTATTAATACCATTAAACATTTTACCATTAATTGTTAACAGAAAGCATTCACTTACAAATGTTCATTCACAGTGTATTTAGTTTTCATCCCTATAATCCGGGGACTGCCTGTACTTAGTTTTCATCCCTAACCCACCTAGTGAGCCATAATGGTCTAGGTTTCTCAGAAGGAAGGAAATATATAAACATCTGATATGATGGGATAACTTTTACAAACATTTGTTTAGATTATTTAGATTATTTTGCTGTAAAAATTTCTGTAAGATAAACCAGTTTATTAAGCTATCATTTGTTGCCAAGTTGCTCCTGAATGAGAAGCTCATAGCTCAGTGGCTTTACCTGATAAGATAAAAAATAGTTTCGTTTTATTTGTAAATATTTGCTATACTTTTCACTGTCAAGTTTTTGTATTATTTGTTGTTGTATCATTCTGACCTGACCCGACTCATCGGATTCCTGCTGTATAAATAAATATTCTTATAAGAGTTAACAGAAAGATTTTGTTTGTCCCAACATTGTCTATCATGTGACTGTCATATAAGTAACCGTCTGTTTTTTGTTGGACCGAAATTATCTGAAGCTACATGTTGTGTACCGAAAAAAAACCTAAGAATATGGGAAGGGAGCTGTTCAGCGGAAAGAAGCACTCTTAAAGCGAGTCCTCGACGCTGGTCCCCCACCACGAGCAGGAATTCATCTTCTTGGTTCTTTCGGTAAAGTCACGTAGAAGGGAAATAATAAAATAAAACATAATAAAATAATTCTCACAACGTTTCGGCCACAACGCAAGCAGCTGTCCTCAGGTGAAGAACAGGTCTGTCGTTGTGGCCAAAACGTCGTGAGAATTATTTGATTGTTTTATTTTTATTATTTTATTATTTCCCTTCTACGTGACTTGACCGAAAGAACCAAGAAGATGAATCCCTGCAGTCACGAAAGCTTTAAATCGAAATTTCACGAGCAGGAACTTGCGCGCTGGGGACCACCGGAATGTCACATTAACGGCCTAAAGGGCGCGGCCCCTCCCTTGGAGAATAAGATGGCGGCCGGGCTTCCGCACGCGGTCCTTCACACGGAGGCGCTGCCGGAGGATCCCCAGACTACAGGTGCTGGGATCCTGCGGGCGGCACAATGCAATCCTGCTGAAGCGCAGCCTCCGGGCTCAGTCGTCCCGGCTCGTCGGACACATCAGACACCCGCCACTCTGGAGATGAAATATCTACATAAGGTGGAATATAGGGTTTTAACCGTGACGGGTGCACAAACCAGTGACAGCGACCGACCTGTATACGCACACACTGCGACCTTTTGACCTCGATCACCTCAATAGGGCCTTGTCACGGCCAGTGTAATTTAGAGGATGTACCCAGGGGCATCTAGGGACAATGCATATTATTATCATTATCAGAGTTGCTTCTTTTTGTTTGCATTTTTGACTACTTGTGTTGTGGTTATTGCAAACATGATGCCTTGTATAAAAGTGTCAATTTTGTACCAGTTTAAAAGGGTAAAAACCTACTACTATGACAGCATTCCATCTCCAGAATACATGACGCATGCGTTAGAAAACTTAGTTCTCAAGTGACAAGAGGATCTACATGAGAGTGCTGGGCTCAAGAACCTTGAGAATAGCCGTTTCATGAATGCCAGCCTGCAGGGCCTCGTGTACACGACGCCGCTGGCAGACTTTCTGCTTTACAGCAATCACTCATTGACCTTTGAGTTATCCCAGATACTTTACATTCAAGACGAGCTACAATCCAGTTTTGTGTCCATTCCCTGGCATTGCGCAGCTGTGTGCGATTTGTTTGTATTTACCCTGTGCGCCACCCCTGCTGCACTGTACAGGCCAACAGACTGAGTTTCGCATGATTTGTCTGTTGGAGAAACATGTCATCAACACTTTCAATCAGAGCACGGCCATTAATGTACAGCGGTAATACCATCTCTGAGTGCGTGTGCACTCGTGTTTTCACAGTTGAGCACCTGCAGTGCTTCAGCATCTCAGACACATTGGACACTTGCCTGGACATCTCTCTTAACATCAATGTAAAAAATGGGAAGGCCAAAGCCTGATGTAGATTTTTCCCCCTTATTAATTATATATCATAAGTTGACTGCAGAGCCACTTAAGTCATGGTTTGTGAACTATTCAAAGTAATAATTTGCCATTGTTGTGTTTTTTGACTCGACAGAAATCCCTGTATATGGTGGAAGCTTTTGACGAATTCACGAAGATCGAGAAACTTACAGAATATAGATGTGGAAAGTGAATGCCATCTTCCTTCGCGTACCTTGAAGCGTTATTTTATATTCCCATTTCCAGTGTGTGATTGAACACGCATCTCTGTCGTAAATTAACATGTGTGATGCCGCAGCCACGAAGCCGTTCTGCGGGCGCCCCACCTACGACTTCACCACCGCCAAGCGATGGGGACGACGCGGCTTCCCCCTCACCAACCCCTCGCACAAACACACACACACCGACCCCCATGTAGAGCCTCGCGGGGAAGCCACCTGGTCCACAGGTTTTCACCCAGGAGCCCCCTCGTAGGGGGAACATCCTCCATGGTTTTCCCTGGGACCAGAGAATTGACTAAGGTTTTCCCCAGGCTGAATTGCCCTGCGGCGCCGTGAATTAACGTGGAAATGCACGATCACGACGAGGCTACGCAGCCACCGCGGATACAAACATACCCCGCACATACGGATCGGTGGGCAGGTAGTGAGGGGGGGGGGGCGGAGCCACGAACGACGGGGAAAACGGGGTCGTTCCTCTAATTGGTCGGGCGCTTAGCGGCGGGCTTAGATGCGGATGTCGCTGAGGTCAGCGGTCCGAGTGGGGCTGGGGTGCAGGTGAGCGCTCTGATTGCCGGGCGGATCGGGCTCTTTGATGTAGGTAAGGATAAAGGGACGATGGAAAGGGGCAGGAGGGTCTCTTGCTTCTCAAGTCAGCTATCGGGGCAGTTGTCTCTTCAGTCCAGCTATTCGAACGTCCGTGTGACGAGTCGAAGTGCTGTGAGGATGGGCACACCGGAGCGTCGAACCGTGAGTAAGAGAGAGAGTTGGTATTTAGCTTAATCGCCAAAGGGGTTGAAGTCCTAACAGACTAAGGTTCAGACCATCGGGAGATAGTTTAATCCTGCCTTGCCGATTCCGACTGATTCCGTGAGAGTGGCTCACAGTCATGCCGATAATAAATCGTTAGTAACTGATCACAGTCTCGGGTGAGCGTGTGGGAAGAGCGTGGTGCTGTGTGTGTGCGCTCGTATGTGTACAGTCGGCGCTTTCACGGGTGCACGCTAGTAATTGATCACAGCCTCGGGTGAACTCTGCGAGTGTGTGTGGAAAACGCGTGGTGCTGTGTGTGTGTGCGCTCGTAACGTGGGTGGTCGGTGCTTCCACGGGTGTACGCTTCGTCTTGCTGCTGCGAACCCCCGCACTGCGTGCGGACTAACACCCCTCGCGAACACCCGACCCACAGCCCTTTAAACCACCCGTAACAAAAACCCCCAATCGGCGACGCGGGCGCGAGCAACGTCATTTGCCCTCCAACCCCTGACCCCCCCGTTCAGCGCGTGTGATTGGTGCGCGGGTTTGTGTGAGGGGAGGCGTCGCGTTTGATTGGCGGAGAGGCAACAGGGTGCTTTCAGGCGGCCGTGAGCCAGCGCTGAGCCATGCCCCACAAGCAGGACTCGCGGACTCGCGGGGGTTTGACCCAGGGAGGAGAGCCGGCAGGCGGCAGCCCTTCTCCCGCGAGCGAGGAGCGCAGCAGCAGCTGCTCTCACACGAGTGAGGGATCGGGAGACGGCGGACCCCCTACGGCCGGTGCCCAGCAGGGAGAGGCCTCGGGGGCCAGCGGCCTCAACACAAGCTATTGTCTGGCGAACAGGTGCTCACACGTGGGGAAATCGACAAAGAGAGTGAGCCTGCACGTGGTGCCCAATGTGCTTATCATTACCATTGAGCTAATCGATTAGTGGTGAGAAAAATCGACAAGGTGAATTTTACTTGCTACACAGAATGCTTCTATTCAAATTTGATTGCATTCACCATATTTGTCATTTGGACATTGGCTGTACACCGGTGCAATATAACACATCGGTCCTCATAAAACAGTCTAACATCTAAAACTTGAGCTGCCATCCATGTTCCAACTGCTTCTATATTGAGAAATTATTTTGACGCACCCCACAAGATTTTCCGACTGGGTTTGCGAATCGCGGGAAAATAAATGATTGTAACAAATTTTATTTTATTTTTTGTTCTAAGCACTGGTGTCCCACCAATACGTTCATTTGCTCCCCCCTTCTGCCCCAGCTTAGCCAGCACCATATTTTCCTATCTTTTAACGCTTGGCTCACCACTGTCTCCTCCCTCATCCCTCGTAAGAGTTCCTCTTCCCAGAACAACTCAACATGCGGCTGGTCATGTCCAATCAGGTTGTGCACGAGCCGGAACATTATTCGCTCTACTCGGTCATTGTGCACCACAGGACCACCACCAATAGCGATCACTACTTCTCGTACAACAAGGTGACATGCTGCATGACTGCGTGGAAACGCCAACTCACGGTTGCCCCT